TCATCTAATGCCAGGAAGGGCACCGGCACCGCACCGTTAGACGTTGTTTTCTGGGTACTTCTGCATCCCTTTGGGTGTCTGTTCCATCACAGTCCGAAGAGCCAATCTTAGCATGTGCCACGCTGTGTGGGATGCCTTTAAGTTTTTCACATGGGTACTGGTCAAAGTTGGGTACCCCAACCCGTTCATACTTCAGGATTCATACCAAAGGTTGCGGTGCTGAAACTTGTTTATTTGCACACAATTTTGATAGGATGTTTACTATCCTTTCTTTTTGGGGGTTGCTATACACACGTGCCTGATACCTACATCCCACACAAGCCCATCGTTCGGGTTTCATGGTACTTCCTTGCCTTTGAATTGTTTCCGGAGATCTTCCTCCTTTGCGTCCTGGCGACAGCAGCGCTGCTGACATACGATGATGTGGATGACGAGGAGGGGACAGGATCAGAATGAACATGTCTCTGATATGGGGTTGGATCAAAACTTGTAAAAGACCATATTTGATAAACATTGCTATTTGGTGTTCACCAGGGTACTAGCGTTTTGACACATACCGCCCATACATTCCCATACCGTCCCATACCCATATTTTCTCACAAAATGAAGTAGATGAGGAGCATGAAGATGTTGATTATGAATTATAATATATATGTTGATGAACATGAAGCTAATTCTGATGCCGTGTTCATGTGAATGTTTGATGATGGCGACAACATTCTGGTGACAACGCGTCGACGTTATCATTCCTGGAGAGTTGGCCCAGCTCATTGAAAATGTTTCTTGGCAACAAAACGGCAAGCTTGATTGTCAGGTAATTGTCAGGTAACTCTCGGGTCAACAGGGATTCTTGAGCAGGAACAGATACCCTGTGCCATTGTTTACACACGAAACGTAGTGCCAGTTTCAAAGAATTGAAAATATGCAGGGAGCAGTTGACAAAACCTCCCAAGCAATTGGAGCGTCGGATCCAAGATCTATGGCTAGGTACGCCCCAGAGATTCCGTTCCACTGCCGCTTAAGCACAACATCCCCCCGAGCAAGGCATCACCTTGGACAAGTTTCGCACACAAATTTGAGAGCCTGTCCAAGGATCATGATGCCCGACTTGGATGTCCACCCCAGCTGGTCAATCGTCCATGACCACTATTGACAATGTTTGAAATCCAGTTCTTTACATCAGTATGTTTATGTGTGTAAATATATAATTATACACAATTGTATCTGTATATGTAAATAAATAAGTAAATAACAAATATATATATATATAAATAAATATATATATATATATTGAAAAAAAATATATATATAAATATATACAAATAAATAAATAAATAAATATATAATATAAATATATATAAATATATATAAATATATATAAATACAAATAAATAAATAAATATATGGAATGAACAGGATAGACGCGCAGTAGATGGATGTACATAGGGGTTCTTGTGGCTTATTGTGAAGACTCGTGGGGCACAGCTCGGGTAAATGTTATCGCAGGCTTCAGGATTCGCAAGATCAAGGATCTCCTCTGGTGGGAAAAAAACATACTAACCGGCAGTTGCCTGGGGTGACCCAAGTGTCAATCAAGGAACCTGTGGGACCTTTCCTCAAATTCTAGGTCTTCAGATCTGTGACTTTGTGGAACTTTCATAGATGATGCATTCATGATGCATGGTTTTATAGCTTACTGCTGGGTTACCCTTATCATATGATTTGTGGCTTTCCCTTATCCCGAGAATATTGCAGTCGCCATTGGTGATCATGATCCCTGGTTCAAAGTCAAGAATACATGAAACCACCAACCAAACATTCTTGCTCTGAAGCCCATGGTTTTGACGGAGGCCGTGATCAAGGACACTTCCCAACAGCACTACCCATGTCACCGGGAAAGTCATGGAAGGGCATCGCTGGTGAAAAATCAAAACTGCTGTGGTTGTTGGGGGCCACTGAACCCACTGATTTCCCCCAATCCGGAACATGCACCCATACAATCTTTGTATACCACATTTGCGCACTACTTTGTTAACATGCATACCTCGCAGCTGTGCCTTCAAGAATGACGAGAACAACCCGGTTTTCACCATTCTGATGCGCGTTCTGTGACTGTGACACTTCTGCACCGCAACCGATGAAATCGTGGCGTGCCTGTGGGCACCTCCTTCTTTGGTTTTTTACCACCTGACGAAGGGCAGAACCAGGCTACGGTCGCCTCAGCCTGAAAAGAAGCCCCCCATATTTCCATGTGAAACAAAAAAAATATATCAAAACATCAAAGTCTATAGCAGAATCTGCTCTGAACTACAGCGGGCTGCCTTCGGTGGCGGCGGAAGCAGTGGGCACAGTGCCCACCAAGCCTGCTGGCAGGGCGGCCGTCTTGGACACCTTGCTGCCTGGTGCTGGTCATATGAAAGGTGCATGTGAAGTGCCCGTGCCGGGGCGATGGACCTATGATTTGTTTTTATCTTTTTTCATACAGAATTAGTATTCCCCAGAGATGATTGAAATTCTCATAGAATTTCCCAGTTTGATGGATCCAGAATATTGGATGTCACAATTATAACCCCTATTATCCCCTGAGCAATTCCCCAGTAAAATTTATATAAAAAGGTTTAAAACCAACAGTTACTAAAATAGTGATCATCTGCTACAAAAATGGTGGCCCCGCAAGGATCATATTATACTGTTTGCCAACCGTGCCTGTGCCTTTGCCTTTCTCGCCTGAGGTGGACAACAGAGCCAGTCACTGAGGCTTGGTCTGTTTTGCACAGAAAACAATTGTGTTTTGCCTTTTGCTATAAAAAAACTTCTGAATGTAAAGATGAGGTTCAATCCAAATTTAAGAAAAATGCTGGGAATAGGAATATGTGGCAACATGCGGAAACTTAGCCACAACAAAGGGGTATGAACCATCAACAAACTGGCTTGGCTACGTCTACAAATTCATTCTGAGTCTGTGAGAGCTACTGGGTCCGAGAGTACCTGATGACCCTCAGGGTGGACTCTTTGGAGTCATCACACATGGCAGGCTGGAATACCTGAACTAAATTGGCATCTATATGGGAAAATCATTGAACCAAATATTACTGTAAACCAAGTGTTCCATTGCAATGTTTGATTACCCGAAGGTAATATGGTTCCGGTTAGTTCTTTGCAAACAGGGTCCTGCTTGCCATGGACTGTATTGTCAGATTGTGCTTCACTCACTGCGGATCCTGGTAGCATGCGTCCTTCAATGCTGTGGTTCCAATCTTGTTCAGAACTTCCATGGACACCAAAAGACTGCTCACATACTCCACTTTCTCGCCTATATTCTACCATGTTTCACGATTCTATTCTGATTGTTGCTTGTATGCTGCTTCTTGGTTGGCCATATACCATGGATAAGGTTGAACGTCGAGTTCACAGGTTTGCTGGCTAGAAATATATATTTTTTGTTCCTTAAACTGCCCCCAATCATCCTATATGCGGCGTCTTGGTTTCAGGGAAAACATCCCGGAAACCATAGGTTTTAAACTAATTTTTGTGGCTGGGGTATGATATGATATGATGTGATATGATATGATGTCCTGAACATTTTGCCCTCAACCTCCTCAAAACCAGTACAGTATCAACCCGAACAACTGTTTCATCATGCTTTCTTTTTTCCCCAACAGCGTAAGCTTGGGGTCTTCAGCCATAGTAAAGGTTCCGGAGCAGGTCGGAGCAGCCAAATCCGCTTGGCGCAAGGTTGGGAACCGGGTTCCGGGGAAGGGTCTCCTTTTCCAAGACAATCCCTCGGAGCAAATCCCCACGGCAGAGGTTGGGAACCGGGTTCCCAGGAAGAGGTTCCCAAGCAAGGTTCCCAGGAAGAGGTTCCCAAGCAAGGTTTCCAAGCAAGGTTCCCAAGAGGTTCCCAGGAACAGGTTCCCAAGCAAGGGTTCCCAGCAAGAGGTTCCCAATCCCAGGAACAAGTTCCCAAGCAAGGTTCCCAAGCAATGTTCCCAGGAAGAAGTTCCCAGCAAGGTTTCCAAGCAAGGTTCCCAGGAACAGATTCCCAAGCAAGGGTTCCCAGCAAGAGGTTCCCAAGCAAGGTTCCCAGGAAGAGGTTACCAAGAGGAAGGTTTTCAGGAAGAGGCTCCCAGGCAAGGTTCCCAAGAGGTTCCAGGCAAGGCTCCCAGGTTCCCAAGCAAGGGTTCCCAGGCAAGGGTTCCCAGGAAGAGGTTCCCAAGCAAGGTTCCCAGGAAGAGGTTACCAAGAGGAAGGTTTTCAGAAAGAGGTTCCCAGGCAAGGTTCCCAAGAGGTTCCAGGCAAGGCTCCCAGGTTCCCAAGCAAGTTCCCAGGCAAGGGTTCCCAGGAAGAGGTTCCCAAGCAAGGTTCTCAGGAAGAGGTTCCCAAGCAAGGTTCTCAGGAAGAGGTTTCCAGGAACAGGTTCCCAAGCAAGGTTCCCAAAAACAGGTTTTGCAAGCACGGATTTCAGGAACCGTTTTCAAGGTTTCCAGGAACCGTTTCCCAGGCAAGATTTCCAGGAACATGTTTTTCCCAAGCAAAACAAGGTTCCCAGAACAGGTTTTCAAGCAAGTGTTTCCAGGAAAAGGTTTCGAGGAAGAGGTGTCCAAGCAAGGTTCCCAGCAAGCTGGTTCCCAACCAATGTTTTCAGGAAGAAGTTCCCAAGCACGGTTCCCAGCCACAGGTTCCCAGGAACAGGTGCCCATACAAGGTTCCCAAGAGCAGGTTCACAAGTAAGGTTCCCAAGCACGTTCCCAAGCAAGGTTCCCAGGAAGAGGTTCCCAAGCAAGGTTCCCAGCAACAGGTTCCCAGGAATAGGTTCCCAAACCAGGTTCCCGAAGAACAGGTTCACAAGTAAGGTTCCCGGAAAAACTTCCCAGGCAATGTTTCCAGGAAAAGGTTCCTAAGCAAGGTTCCCAGGAACAGCTTCTCAAGCAAGGTTGCTAGGAAGAGGTTCTCAAGCAAGGTTCCCAGGAAGAGGTTCGCAGGCAAGGGTTCCCAGTTGCTCCTGGAAATTTTGCTTTGGAACCAGCTCTTCCTGGGAACGCTTGCTTGAGAACCTGTTCCTGCGAGCCTTGTTCCTGCTTGGAACCTAAGAATTTAACCTTGCTTGGGAACCTCTTCCTGGATACCTGCTTGGGAGCCTCTTCCTGGGAACTTGCTTGGGAACGTTTCTCCCCAACAACGCGTAAGTTTGGGGTCTTCAGCCGCCCCAAGAACAAGATTTCCAATCAAATTTTCCAGGAACAGGTTCGCAAGCAAGGTTACCAGGAATGATTCCCAAGCCAGGTTCCTAAGAACGGTTCCCAGGCAAGGTTCCCAAGCAAGGGTTCCAGAAACAGTTGCCACGCAAGGTTCCCAGGAACAGGTTCCCAAGCAAGGTTCCCAGGAACAGGTTTCCAAGAAAAGGTTGCAAAAAAGGTTTCCAAGAATAGGTTCGCAAGCAAGGGGGGTCCAGGCAAGATTCCTGGGAACAGGTTTCCAAGCAAGGTTCGCAAGACCAGGTTCCCAAGCAAGGCTCGCAAGATCAAGTTCACAAGCAAGGGACAGGTTCCCAAGCAAGGGTTCGAAGAACAGGTTCCCAAGAACAGGTTCGGGTTCCAAGAACAAATTCTCTAGGATGGTTCCGAGCAGTAGGTTGCCAGCACGGTTCCCACGAACACGTTCCCAAGCATGGTTTCAGGTTGCTCATGTTCCCAGGAACAGCTTCCCAAGAACAACTTGCAAAGCGAAATTTCGAAGAACATCTGCAAGCAAGGTTGGAAGCAAGAACAGAATCCTGAGCAAGGTTCCGAAGGACAGGTTAAACAAGGTTCCCAGGCAAAGTTACGACAAACAGGTTCCCGAGAAAGGTCCCAACGAACAGGTTTGAAGCAAGCAGGCAAAGCTTCCAAGAACAGGTTCCCAAGAGAGAGGGTTCCTAAGAATAGGCTCCCAGGAACAGGTTCCCAAGCAAGGCTCCCAAGAACAGGTTCCCAAGCAAGGTTCCGATAAACAAGTGTCAAGCAACGTGTCCAAGAAGAGTTGCCCAGGCAAGGTTCCGAGAACATTGAACAACAGAATAGTGCAAAGTTTGAAGAATTGTTCTAATAACGGAACGGAGAGATTGAAGAACTAGTTTTGCTTCAAAAAATGATACGACACTCGCACATGGATAAAAACACTAGACGACAGCGTGGCATGAAAGAAAGCAGGAGGGAGGAGACAAGAAGATAATACACAAGAAAAATGATTATGGTGATGATGATGATGATGATGACGACCATGATGATGGCGATGACGATGACGAGGATGAATGACGATGGAGATGATGATGAATGATAGCTGACACGAGCCAAATGTCATATATCCACGATTTCATGCCTTTTTTTGTCCCCGCAGAGGGTTTGCTCCAGGGCTGGCACCTGAGCGACAATCAGAATCAAAAGACATGTTGTTTTTACACAGCGAAAAAATTACACAGAGAAGTTTTTACACACAGAAGCCTTTACACAGAGAGGGATTTACACAGAGCAGCTTTTACACAGACACTTTTGCACACAGAGGCTTTTACATACAGAAGCTTTTACACAGAAAACCTTTTTCTAAAGAAGCCTTACCACATGAAGCCTTTACACAGAGCAGCTTTACACACAGATGCTTTTTCACAAAGAAGTTTTTACACACAGGAACTTTAACGCGCAGATGCCCAAGCTTTTACACACATGAGCTTTTGCACACACACGCCTTACAAAAAGAAGCTTTTAGACACAGAAACTTCTACAGCCTTTTCACAAGAAAGCTTTTAGCTTTTGCACAGAGATGCCTTTACAAACAGAAGCTTTTACACGCAGAAGCTTTACTCAGAGAAGCCTTTAAACAGAGCAGCTTTTACACGCAGAAGCTTTTACACAGAGAAGATTTTGCACAGAGAAGCTTTTTCACAGACAAGCGTTTGCGGGAAGGAACTTTGAGCACAAACGGTCTTTACATACAGCAGCTTTCACACAGAGAAGCCTTTGCGCGGACCAGCTTTTACACTCAGGTTTGTTTTCACAGAGCAGCGTTTACGCGGAGCAGCTTTTACACACCGAAGCTTTGACGCAGAGAGGCCTTTACACAGAGAAGCTTTTACGCACAGAGGTTTTCACACGGAAGCTTTACACAGAGAAGCTTTTACACAGAGAAGCGTCTAAACAGAGCACATCTTGTATACACAGAAGCATTTACACGCACAAAAGCTTTACATACACACAGAGCTTTTACCCACAGCCGCTTGTACGCATAGAAGCTTGTTCACAGAGCTTGCAGACCGGAGGTTTGACGCAGAGAAGCCTTTACACAGAGCAGCTTTTGCACACAGACGCCCCCAGGCTTTTACGCAAAGAAGTTTTTACACACAAGCTTTACACAGACAAGCTTTTACACACAGAAGCCTCTACACAGCATCTTTGATACACAAAAGCATTTACACACACACAAAAGCTTTACACACACGCCTTTACACACAGAGCTTTTAAACACAGACACTTTTACGCACAGAAGCTTGTTCACAGAGCAGGGTTTACACAGAGCAGCTTTTACACACCGAAGCTTTTACACAGAGAGAGGCCTTTGCACAGAGCAGCTTTTACAATCTTATACGCGCAGAAATTTTAAACACGCAAATGCCCAAGCTTTTACACAGACAGGTCTTTACACATAGAGGCACTTACACAAAAGTTCTTCACACAGATGCGGCAGATGCTTCTACACACAGAAGCTTTTGAACACAGATGCCTTTCCACACAGAAGCATTTACCCAGAGACGCTTTGACAGATACACGCCCATACACACAGAAGCTTTTAGACACAGATTGTTTTTCAGAGAATCACAGAAGCCTTGACACAGAGAATCTTATACACACAGAAGCTTTTACACACACAAGTTTTTCCACAGAAGCTTTTACACAGAGAAGCTTTTGAGCACAGGAGCTTTTACACACAGACGCCTTTACACACAGAAGCTTGTACACACGGAGGCTTTTACGCACAGAAGCTTTTACACAGAGAAGCCTTTACACACAGACGCTTTCCCACAGAAAAAACGATTCCACAGAGCAGCTCTTACACACTGCAAAAAATTGCAATTTTACGTAGGTTTTTGACGTTCGGCCATCATATCGTGCGAAAGGGTTGCATCCGGCGTTGGAAAGCCCCAATTTTTGACGTTGGACAATCATTTTACCTGAAAGGGTTGCGCCTGACCTTGTAAAATCGCAATTTTACACAAGTTTTATTTCGCGCGAAACGGTTGTGCCTGACGTTTCAAAATGGATAAAGTCGCAACTTTACACCAATTCTTGAACGTTTGCATCTGACGTTAAAAAAAAACAGTTTTCCCACAGTTGCCGTTTGACTTTCATGCCACGCTTGCATCTGAACTTTCAAAATAACAATTTTACACCAGGTTTTGACGGTTGACCGTCATTTCGTGCGAAGGGGCTACACCGGGTCCCACCAAATTTGCATTTTGCCACATGTTTGAATGTCCGACCTGCGCGATCTCTGCAGAAGGCTGCCCGTGCCACCACATGCTTGGGCGTTCGAAACGCACGATCTCCGCAGACGGTTGCTGCGGGCAAAGAAGTTTCGCATTTCACCACACCACATGCTTGCCCATCCGACACGCACGATCTCCGCAGAGGGTTGCCCAAGGACAAATAAGACCCGCATTTCGCCACACGTTTGGGTGTCCAACACGCCGCAGAGGGTAACGTTTCGTAAGCCACCGCCTGGCTGTCCCTGCCGCCAGAGGGAGATAGAAGAACTGGAGAAGTCTGATTTGCAGGAGTTCAGATACAATTTGATCACCTGGAAGTCAGCCGAACTCCTGTGCAGCAACTCCTGTGTAACAATTTCTGTGCACATGACCTTGCAGGCAGGAGTCTCGTAGGAGTTCAAGTAGAAGTGGATCACCTGCAAGTCAACTCCTGTGTAAATGACATTTTTCAAGATTTGTAGGAGTTCCCAAGTTGATCACCTGTAGCTGATGTAGGTGATGTTGTCTATGTTGCAGATGATGAGGATGATGTTGCAAGTGATGTAAGGTTCGATTGGTTTGAAGATGTAGGTAATGTAGAGGATGCAGTGATATAGATGATGATGTAGGTCATGTGTGCGTTGCAGATGATGTATGTCATGTAGATGAGGTTGATGGAAAAAGATTGTGTAGGTGATGTAGATGGTGTAGGTGAGATAGACAATGATGATGGTGGTGGTGATGATGATGATGTAGGGAAGATGGTGCAGAAGATGTAGGTGATGTGGGTAATGTAGAGGATGTAGTGATGCAGATGATGATGATGATGATGATGGTGATGATGATGATGGTGATGTTGGTGATGATGATGATGGTGATGATGATGATGGTGATGATGATGATGATGGTGTAGATGTAGATGTAGATCTAGAGAAGATGGTGTAGAATATGGTAAAGAAGATGTAGGTGATTTAAAGGACATAAGAGATGTGGATGATGTACGTTAGGTAGATGAAGTGAAGAGTGAGGCGGACAGCAGTTCTTTGGGAAATCGTTTTTTCATAAAGTGTTTGTGCTGTGATTGCACTTTGCACGCCCGACCTCTAGAGTAAGAAGGGCGGGGCAATAAACATACTTCACTCATTGCGTGTTTGGCAACTGTTTTGTTTTTCTGGCTGTTGGGGATATTCCTTGGGCTTACGGGTATTTAGTTTTAGGGATCAATGCTCGGATGAAAACCATATTACATGTCATCCCACCATCTCCAACTTCAGCAGCTCCCCAGCCTCCATCTTTTCCTTTTCCTTTCCCTTCTCCGGGTTGATGCACCGCCATGGTCACCAACAGCGGCTTGCCCTCGGGCTGAGGCTTCTCGTGCATTCCCTGGGCAAACGTTCTCTGCTGGTATTGTCGTCGCTTCGTGGCTACAAACGCCGCACTGGAGTGTTTGCTCTGAAGTTCCAATAATTCAATATGTATATATATATGTATGTATGTATGTATGTATGTATGTATGTATGTATATGTTCTATGTTGGGGGTATGTTGGGCCCATGTTGGCTCCATGTTGGGCCGTGTTGGGCCCAGCTTGGGCCATGTTGTGCCTATGTTTGGGCCTATATTGGCCCTATGGCGAGGCATGTTGGGCCTATGTTGGGCCATGTTGGGCCCATGTTGAGCCTATGTTGGGCATACGTTGGGCCTATGTTGGGCATATGTTGGGCCTATGTTGGGCCCTAGTTTGGCAACTTAGCCAATATTAGGTTCCTTAGAAAACGTGGAAAGCCACATGATTCTAAAGCAATAAAGGCTCTCCAAGCTAAAACTATATATATATAGCTGTTGCACTTGCTTCTAAATCACACGTGCTAACCAAAAAAGCCTCGGCACCTTCGGTGCGGTTTACCAATGGGCTGTATGATAAGCCATACATAATATGAATATATGAAGGGTATCCTCTCATCCACTGTTACAATCAACCAACTGCTATCTTTTTAAACTGCTCATTTAAAGCCGCTTTATTTCTGTACACATACAAAATTATATGTATATATATATATGTGTGTGTATGTGTCAGTGACATACCCAATGGAAATTCTTTTGCGCGCCCTTTGTCGGACAAACACTTGCTCGTTGCCCGCGGCCGTACTTCAGAAACCAATGAAGTCCAGGCAGCACAGGACATGGCCATAGCTTCAGCGGGGCTAGCATACATGGCTAACCATGCATGTTTGTATATATGTATATCATCTTTACATGCCTAAAAATGCACAGCCTAGTACACTAAAGTATACTCTAGCATGGAAATGGGTCATGTCTTGAGGAATGGCTAAAACCATTGCATTTCCCGTACAACATCACTTTCCCCGCATGTCTGGACATGCTATGGCGGTTCATCGACGACGGCTTTGTCACATGAAAGTCATGTAAAGGGCCATGAAAGCATGATTTCCAACATCTTTTTCAGGAAACCTCTCTTCCCTGAGAAAAGAATAATGGCATGACACGCTTATGGGGGTGGGCGACTTGACCCCTTCTTGAAAATCTTCAACCAATGTAATAGGTTAGCGGGGATGGGGGATTTGACCCCTTATTGAATCTTCAACCAGTGTAATAGATTAACGGTGGTGGGGGGTTTGACCCCTACTTGATGACCTTTAATAAGTGTAATAGTTTACCGGGGGTGGCGGGGTTGATTTGCTATTGAAGGTCTTGAACAGTCAATATGCGTCAAGGTAGAGTCTGGGCGAACGGCTCTGCCTGAGCCTAGTATATAGCACTACCGTAGGCAGAGTATTACTGTAGTATATTCGTAACTAGCATTGGTATTAAAATTAGTATTACTCTTAGTGCCGGTCTTTGTATTAGTATTAGTATCAGCTTTAGCTTTAGTATGGTAAAATATAGTTTGGCAAAGAAACGTATGGTATAGTAACATATAGTAACTGTATAGTATAGTACAGTATTCGTATCGGTACTTGTACTAATATAGTAAAGTACAGTAGAAAATGTTTTTCCGCGCCTTTGTGCCACTTGGACGACTGTCAATGCGGGATTCACAAGCCATCCATGGCAATGGCAGTTTTTAACTGCGAAAATGAGGAACAACTAGTGGACGTTTGGCTTTTTAATTGCTGTTTTTCAGACGAAACAACTTCCCTATAGTCTATGTGAATGATGTTTCCACTATTCTGGTGAAGCGACCTGTATTCGTTGCTTCTCCAGCCTTGCTGGTTGCAACCCCCCGTTCGCTGTTCAATCTATCTCCGTTGGACATGTTTTTACCTCACTTTATGTTGCACATACACTATCCATTCATCTCGTTGGACATATTGCTTCCAATACAAATATGTCATACTATTCAAACATATGAACACATATGGCATATCTCCCACCTATCTGTGGCCAAAAAACTGGACACTGCATATCCCGATTCCATCGGTCCCCATCTGCCTCAATGGCTTTTTGCGCCTGGCAGTTGCAACAGTTGCGGCGAGGGAATGCATACTGGGTAGCTTTTTGTTGTTTAACCAAGGGGACGTGGGAAGTTGACCAGCAAAGCATGGGACGAAATCTTCAAACATGGAGATGTGGTGTGATTTGATATAATACCACAAACGGCAAAAGGATGCCAAACAAAAGAGGACAATACTGTGACAGTTGACTGCAAAAGCTGACGAACACCTACTTGGGGATGTGGTTGGGGATATTCATGGATGTAATCACGGCAAAGGAAAACATAAGATGGGATAGAACCCTATTTTCTTCCTTTAAATATCCCCCATCTTGCCAAGCGACAACCACTACAAGTGGTCGATATCCCACGAATTTTCTTGCCTCCTCGAGCTTTTTGAAGGTGATGAAAGCATATCCTCTCCCTTCGCCGGTCCTTGGAAATTCGCATTGAGTCGAATATCCTGCCGTAATCAAACAGGTCTGGCTTGGACGCCCACTACTTACACGGGCATCGGTAGATAGAAAAATCATTGAACTAAATGACGAGCTTTCCAGCAAGCCATGCTTGATTACCAGAGGGTAGTTCATATGATCTTGTAAAACCAATCTATTGCAATATGAAAGGTGGGGCACTTTAACCATCAATCATTTACCAGCCAAGTTATAAGCCTTCAACTGGCTTCAACCGTCAAAACTAGGGCACGTCACCAGAATATTATACGAGTTTGTCTGAAAACCAAAACATGAGGTTCGTAATCATGGGTTTTTGGTGTACTCCATAAATAAACAAGCCCAAAACTCAGTGATCACAGTAGGATATGAGGCACATGAATCGTCCTTAATCTTGTACAGATACGACATGTGGATGGTCGGCACATATTCTCTCTATCTAATGGCCACAGCATCATCTATAATATCTCCAAAGCGGGGGACTCCGCATCCCATTAACATACTGGGATCATCCAACAGTTTTGAAGGCCTCAAGTTGAGCAAGCTTTGCAACCGTATGGGGGTCTCAAAAATTGGAACACCAAATTTCTATAGTTTATCCTGGCTCATCCTCATTCTACCAATATGCGCCCATAATTTGGGGCATCTCGCCATCTTGAAACAAAACAGCCAAAATGTCCGGACATTCATGGTGATGATTCACCGTCCGGCAAACCCCCAAACTTGGCATGACATAGGCTATCTCCTGGCCTTAAGGGTTCGCTTCCTTCCAATTTCAAGTGGTCTGAACTTGTGGAATGACATTGGCTGTATATATGGCTAGATGATGCCAAATAAAGCTGACATACGAAGAATCAAAGTTTTAAATGCTTTGATTGGTGGCATCTAAGCCTCAAACAATTTCAAGTTGGCTGGTTGCTTCTCCTACTCCTAACTCCCTGGTTCCCAGTGGCTCCATTCCCAGATTCTCAAGAAACGGCCTCAGCCAAGGAACTCGAATGTTTTCACAGAGACGTCGGTGATTTTACCAAAGCCTGGACGAGACATGGCAAAATCAGAGAGGAAACACTTTGGAGCATGTCGAAACATTGTACAGTATATAGCTTGTGGTCATGCATCCCACAATGGAATCCTTGTGATGCATATCTCGATCTCACTCATGGACTAATGACCATCCCCAGCATGGGTATAAAGTCCAACTCTTGACCATTGCAAAAGTAATCGTAGACATCCTCAAGCAACTGAATTTTCAGATGAACAAATACAATATTATTCACCAACTCATAGAAACAAAATTCGCACATTGACCTGGGACCTACCCAGCCATTGCCCAAAGCAAAGTTAGATCTATGCGAAAGCTCCACCCAAAATTAATTGCTTGGATTTACGTTTTCAAGGTCCCCACAAAATGGAACAGAGAAGTATGAACCAGCAGGAATATAAAACATAGTCTTCAGCAAATCCTAGGTGAGAAAAAAAAGGATAAGTGCATGGTCCATCGTGGAGGCCAAGTCATCTAATGCCAGGAAGGGCACCGGCACCACGCCCGTTAGACGTTGTTTTCTGGGTACTTCTGCATCCATTTGGGCGTCTGTTCCATCACAGTCCGAAGAGACAATCTTAGCATGTGCCACGCTGTGTGGGATGCCTTTAAGTTTTTCACATGGGTACTGGTCAAGGTTGGGTACCCCAACCCTTCATACTTCATGATTCACCTCTCTTTTTCCCCACCTGCCAGGTGAGGGTTGTTAGATTTTATCAGAGTTGTTCTTCTCCTCCTCCTCCTCCTCCTCCCTCTCCTCCAGCTTCTCCTCCACCACCTTTTGCATCCACTCCCATGTTCACTTCCGCCTTGCCAACTCTTCGCCAAGCTCTTCGCCAACTTCCGCACGCAGTGGGCACTGCTGGACCTCAACTGCAAGGGTCTGAGCGCACTGGGCACCGCTGGGCCTCAACCTGGGACCTTCCGAGCTCAGTGAGCACCGCTGGACCTCAACCTGGGACCGTCCGAGCTCAGTGAGCACCGCTGGACCTCAACCTGGGACCCTCCGAGCTCAGTGAGCACCGCTGGACCTCAACCTGGGACCCTCCGAGCTCAGTGAGCACCGCTGGACATCAACGGCCAGATAGAATGCCAGAAGATATGCCAGATAGAACGCCAGATAGAATGTCAGAAAGAATGCCAGAAGATATGCAAGATAAAGTGCCAGAATGTTTGCCAGATAGAATGCCACAAGATATGCCAGATAGAATGCCAGAAGGTATGCCAGATAGAATGTCAGATAAAATGCCAGAAGGTATGCCAGATAAAGTGCCAGAATGTTTGCCAGAACATATGCCAGAAGATTTGCCAGATAGAATGCCAGATAGAATGTCAGAAGATATGCCAGATAGAGTGCCAGAAGATATGCCAGAACATATTGCAGAAGATATGCCAGGCAGAATGCTAAAAGATATGCCAGATAGAATGCCAGAAGATATGCCAGATAAAATGCCAGATAGAATGTCAGATAGAATGCCAGAAGATTTGCCAGTAACAAAACGTATAGATGTCATGGTGGGGATAACTCGAAGTAAAGTAATTGTTTTTTTTTGGGGTTGCTATACCCACATGCCCATTACCCACAACATCCCACATAAGCCCATCCCTCAGGTTTCATGGTAGTTCCTGGCCTTTGAATTGTTTCCGGAGATCTTCCTCCTTTGTATCCTGGCAACAGCGCAGTGACATTGGATGATGTGGATGAGGAGGAGGGGATAGGATGGGCATGAACATGTCTCTGATATTAGGCGATGGATCAAAACTTGTAAAATACCATATTTGACGGGAATAATCATGGCTATTTCTCAAATTAGCAGGGTTTTGACCTATATTATCAATTATCTGACAATATGAAGAAAGAGGGGAACATGAACACGTTGATTATGTTATCTGATTTTGATGAACATGAAGCTGATTCTGATGTCATTTTCATGTGAATGTTTGATGCAACAACATTCTGGTGACAACGCGTCGACGTTATCCTGTCTGGGGAGTTTGCCCAACTCATTTAAAACTTTTCTTGTTAATCTGATGTTTTCTTTTTTCCACATGTCCCAACGGCAAGCTGTTGACTGGTGACCCTCCAATTCCTTCCATAGGGGGGTTTTGTCAACTGCTCCCTGCATATTTTCATATCTTTTAAACTGGCATTATGTTTTATTTGTTCATCAAGGTACCTGTTCCTGCTTAGAGAAACCCTATTACCCCGATAGTTACCTGGGCTGCCAGTCAATCTTGCCGTTATCGGTTTTGTTGCCCCAAAATTCCCTTCACAGCGTGGGGCATTTTTGCTCCAACTTCGCTAGGGGATGTGGGTCCCATACAAATCATCGGCTCCGTAGCTCCTCCAAGATCTATGGCTACGCCCCAGAGATTCCGTTTCCCCTACCGCTCAGCACAACATCCCCCCGAGCAAGGCATCACCTTGGGCAAGTTTCGCACACAAATTTGTGAGCCTGTCCGAGGATCATGATCCCCGACTTGGGTGTCCACCCCAGTTGGTCAGCGGGCAATGATTGTGATTGACTATGGTTAAAACTCAAGTATATACACATATAGTCACATAAAATAAAATGAAACAGAACAATATAACATAGTTTCATGTAATATAGCAAACAATAAAATCATGTATCATTTTACAATACGCACTGATAGAACATATATAATATAATATCATTAATATATAGTAGAATATCATAGAACAGAATATAACACAAAATAAGTTGGTACGATCTAATATAATATATCAAAAACGAAACAATATTATTAAAAATATAATATAATATAGTATTATGTTCAAAAATACATGTATATATTTAGTGTCTTGAATCACATAGACTCAGGATATGCCCAGTACACAAGACTTATTGGCGACCAGGCTGCACATCCAAAACAGTGATTGGGACTTCATGTGGAGATTGATCTGGCTGCTTATGGGTACCGTGGGGTTGACCCAAACCTTTATGGCTTGTTTCGTCCGTGCTTCAGCGTTCTCAATTTCCATGCATCCAAATGTTAGTGCAATCTGTTATCACATTGCTGAAATTGTCCGAAATTTATGTGAAACCCACGTCCAGGTCGGAACCATCTTTCCAGCTGAATCATGTGAAGATGTGCAATGCACAGCTCAGGCAGCTGTTATTTTGTTTCAGGCTTAAAATCAAGGATGTCCTTCTGGGAAGAAAACAAACTGTCTGGTTTGACATACCAATTGCCGCAGTCGCTTGGGGGTGACTCAACTATTCATCAATCAACTGGTGGGGGTGAGCTTTTCTGATTAGGCAGAGATCAAGTTCAATGACGGATTGTGTCGCAACTCAGTAACGATTACTGTACCTCTTCAGATCCTTCACCTTGCTACTTTTTACGTTGTTGGCCACGTTTGCATGCTGAAGGTAGACCCAAAAATAGCTGATGCATTGATGTATAGCTACATGGTTTACCCCCGCTTTGGTTTCGACCCAAATAGGTTGCAGTAGTCAGTGAGGATCATCATTCCAACTATGGTGGAAAATCGTTGTTCCCTAAAATCAAGTCAGATTTTTCCTTTGATTTAAACAGGACATTTCGACATCAAGAAAATCAAATTCCCAAAGCGTTACAAATTCAACCTGCCCTACCTGGGGTTCATACGCATCAAACCATGAAAAAAACCGCTGGTGACTCCATCTTCACCACCTGTGCCCACAGCCACCAAGCCGGCTGGCAGGGCCGTCTTGGAATTCGTCTTGTTGCCTGGTGTGGTCATATTGGGTGGATGTGAACTAACCGAAAACGGTCGGATTAATATGTTTAGTTCCTTCACAATATAAAAAATCAAAGTTCCATGGGTCCAGAATAGTAGCTACAACCCGTGTGCAATTCACCAGCAGCGCTTTGAAGGTTTATAGCCAAGCATTTTATGGGGATAGCTCATGCAAAATAACAACCAATATGATACTCGGGTGTGAAAATGATTTATTTATTTCCGATAAGCGGAGATTTTTCAAGAGGGCATGCAGTTTTGAGCCATCATTTTTTTGAACAACCGGTTATCATACAAACCCATACGGCACCCATGGGGCTTTGAAACCCCAGCCAAATCTGTTTGCATTTTTATTCGCAACTATAACTATATATCGCAGTGGAATTTGCGCATATAAAGACATGGTTGTAAGTATGTTTTAAAGCGGTTTTAAACTTCAATCAAACCGAGCAGATGGTTTTGAGTAGAAATATGGTGCCTCGCAACCTAAAACGTGCGTTCTAGGAAACCAACATGGGTTTCAACTAACCAAAACTGGCATCTAAATAATGACCTAACCAACCAACAACAAGAGTGATCCCCACCAAGGACGTATCATTGGGAATGAAAACAACAGGAAAATACATTTTCTTTCTTGTTCGGGATGCATTTCAGGGAGACATGTTGACCAACCTATCATGATATTCGCCAACAAAAATGGGATCAATGATTAATGAAGAAACACAAATTCAACCACTTTCAGCAGATTCATCATCCAGTTCCGACCCATGTCTGCAGCTGATTCAGTAAAAAATGCAGGGCGCAGCTTAGGCAGCTCTTATTTTGTTTCAAGGTCTATAACCGGTTTAAAATCCAGGATGTCCTTCGGGGGAAAAACACGCTGCTGTTTAATGTATACCTGGAGGTGGCTCAACTATTCATCAATTCATTGGGCGAGAACGTACCTCCGCGACGAGGCCTCGTAGTCCCTTTTTCGTGCCCCTTTAACTCTTACAAGGGTCGCAAATTAGCTGGACAGGCCTGCGACCTTCGATCCACCAAGCCTATACCGTATAACATGGCTGTTACCGTAAGAACCCCAAGTGCGAACACACTGTCTGGGGAATGTCAACATACATACAGTACCTCGCACTGCGTCAACAAGAATGACGAGAAAACCATGTGCTCTTCTGATGTACCGTGACCGTGACACTTTTCTGCGGGTCAACCGATCAAATCGCAGCGATTCGCAGCGTGCCTGTGGGCGCCTCCTTTGGTTTTTCGCTACCTGTGACAGGGCAGAATCAGGCTGTGGTCACCTCAACCCAAAAGCTGTAAAATGTGTTTTCGCACTGATTTGGATGCGAAATTAAGCACAACACTTTTTTCAGCGATGCCAAGATCAAGCCAAGTGAACCGAACCATCCGAACCACACCCACCTCCAGGAGCAGGAGCCGCAGGAGCCGCTTTGGCTGGACTTTTGGCTGGACTGGTACCTGGTGAGAAACTGGCCATGGGCTGCTGAATGCTTGTCGCACAGGCTGCTCCTACAGTTGGGGAATCCCAAGATTTCAAATCGGTGTTGGCTCGTTTGTTTGGAATACCCAGAAATCGCATGGTTGCAGGACTAGAACGCCATATTCTCATATATTCTCTATAATATAAAGGTCAAACCATGTTTTTTGGACAACCTGGGGAATCCTTTTTGGGAACTTCTGCCGAAATTACATTTCAGCACAGGAATCGCCGAATTCTAAAATTTCTGCCGAAAACAGATAAAATTGCCAACAATTTTCAATTCTGCCAAAATAGGGTTTTCATGGGCTGAGTCCGGGTATAATTCCGCCGAAACTGCGGGCAATTCCGCCGAAATTGCGGGCAATTCCGCCGAAATCTGCCGACATGTTTTTTGACTTTAACTGGGGCAAGCATTCAACAATCAATTCTGCCGAAATTAGTCTCCAATGATGGAATTCTGCCGAAAGCCGTTTTTAAGAGCAAAATCTGAAAATTCTGCCGAAATCCTAAATCGGCAAAAACTTCCATACATTTGGAGCCCTCCATATTTCCACTATTCTTTGCTGAAATCCTTGATGATCAAATCGCAAATCTGATAAGCATGCAACGCAGGGTGGCATTTGCCATTGTTATCAATGAATCTTTGCGGGGTCTCTATTAGTGATCACCAGCATGTTTGCAAGTTGGCTAGGTCTATGTTAGTGGTTATGTTATACATGCTGTCTTTTGTATGCCAATACAGTCCTATGTTCATGATCAAAATGGGTTGGCTTCGTGCAGCTCAACCGTGAGGGTCCATGTTACTGTTGTTTCACCGTGGTTTGTATTTTTGCAACTCCAGATTGAGGTCGTAGTTAGTGGCCATAAATTGACATGCGTCACTTTTACGCTTAAGAGGCCCGAAAGAGTTTGGTAAAACTAACCAAGACCTGGAGGGGCAAATTTGGGAACCTGGGCATCTAATATAATCATCTGATATTCATACCGGGGTCAAACACAGGACAGCAAACTGTAACCTCAGAAAAATTAACTACCAAAACCCAGAGAGGATCTATGCTTTGAAGTTGTTGAGTTGGGATTTGCCACCACGTGCCATGGTGGTTTGACCAAATCCCATCTAAAAAGCGATGGACAACTATAGATATTGGAAACATGTGGGGAACCGTCGAAAAACTCATAAACATAGATATTAATATTGGATGATATTGGCTAAAATCTGATATTACACCCCAAAAAAGTGTTTCCAAGACCTAGCTGGAAATCAACACAAACATGACCTCCATCTGGAGTTGCCACAATAGAGCTCGCCCAGAAACACGCTGGTGATCCACCAATTCATGAAGCTTCCATCTCAGCTATCGAAATCTCAATGCGAAGCTAAAAACAGACAGTAAAATAGTGTAATATAGATATTGGAAACACATTGGTTTGAGTTCCACTCTTGAAGCTATAGAAAACAAACAATGGTATTGGAATAGCTGACTAAGATAGACCTTAGATTGGATTCTCCAGCTTGCATGTGTCAGGAATCTGTGTTTGCAGGGTATGTTAGGGCTTGTTTTAAAGGTGCACAGTTTGGTCACTTGGCATTTTACACCATACCTTGAACACGTTGAACATCAAACATGCTGTGATGAGCTTCGTTAGAGACCCAGAATTTGGTTCTCTACATCCTGGGTAGTTTTACATAGTGTATTTCCTAGAAGAGCCATATTTAAATAGGACAATTTGATTTTAAAGCCATCACACTTTGGGCTACCCAATTTTCAGGCAAACTCATATTGGGGCAACCAAGGGGCTTTGTTGAGCCAAATACAAAAAATCACTTTTTGTGCGTGCAGATATCTACGAACGTGTGGCTTGCAAGAAGAAACAAATGGGATCTTAAATTTGAATCAGGCCGAACGAGTGGTTCTGAGTGGAAACAACAATTTTCAAACAATCACATCTGCGTTTTTTGGAGCTCAAAATGGAGGTTCAACTGCATGTACTTTATGACCTAACCAACCAACAATACAAGTGATCCTCAACAAAGACATATCAGCATGATGATAATAGCAAGAACATATTTTTCTATCTTGTTTGGGACGCATTTCAGGGGGAACATCTTTGCCAGCCAGCAAACATGATATTCACCAGCAAAGACGAGATCCATGATGATTACAGTACGTATATGATGAGTATGGCCAAGTAAAACGCAACATTTTTTCAGCAGCACCTCCAGGAGCAGGAGCCGCAGGAGCCGCAGGAGCCGCTTTGGCTGGACTTTTGGCTGGACTGGTACCTGGTGAGAAACTGGCCATGGGCTGCTGAATGCTTGTCGCACAGGCTGCTCGTACAGGATTCCCCAACTGTATAGTCCCAAGATTTCAAATCGGTGTTGGCTCGTTTGTTTGGAATACCCAGAAATCGCATGGTTGCAGGACTAGAACGCCATATTCTCTATATAAAGGTCAAACCATGTTTTTTGGACAACCACATTTCTATCTATTTCCAAATTTCCACTAATCTTTGCTGAAATCCTTGATGATCAAATCACTTCAAAACTCCCTATTTTAGCTGGTGATTTCCACCACGATCAATTGCGTAAATCATGTTCACTCCCAAGTGTGGTTGGTTAAAACCATCATTTCGGCTGGTGATACCCGCTTGTTACTGCTTGAAGCCGCCATTTCAATCCATTTCGGCTGGGTGAAATTCCTTCCAAAGGGCATCAAAAGAACCCAGCCATCGTCTGAGGGCCTCCAGGAGCTTCCTCCGGCTCCTGCCAACATCGCTGAAGGCCAAGGGCTCAGCATGATGAAGACTGGAATTAACTGAATAACTCTCATTTTTGGAATATGTTTAGCTAGTTCCAATAGGCGACAAAAAATGGTTAACATAAGAGGAAATATGAGTTACATGATGATTTTAGCCGGAAATTGCATGGATGAAAAAAAGTGGAACTTCAACTCACCTCAAGGATCACTACGGGGACCCTTTTTGTTGAGCTGACTCTCCAAAAAATGCGGGTGGGCCACAATGGGAAATATTTTGTATAATGGTATCAATTGATATTAACTGGAATATACCCCTCGGTACATGAACAATTTGCTATGTACCGAATTATTGAGTTCGATGATTTACTTATCATAATGAACATTTTTCATGGCAAATTATTTGATTCCCGGACGGTAACAAAACAACAGGGACAGGACCGCCTTCATGGCGGGTACAATGCTTTGGCAAACAAAAAGTAGACACATTCCCGAGTGAAAATTGGCACGGAACTTAAATTGGTCTTGGAGAAAGGATAAATTGTGTGTGTGTCTTGATAACTTGACAGGTTCACATTTCATCTCAAATTTCCAGGCTGTATGTTTCAATGTTCGAGACCCAAACTTGGGTCTCAAGGGTTAGACTGGCTGGTCATTTGTAGCATTCATTCAGCATACAAGTTGGATGGTTTTCATCTTCAATTTCCAAACATCCCCAAACCTGCCAGCCATCTACTCATGTCATATTTGTCGGTGACGTCCCATTTCGTTCCTCGTGAACAAATGTTTGCCTCACTTGTGCTTTCCAGTCCTGAAAGGGCAACCAAACGGAAACATATCACTCCCCCGCCCTCAGTCCTGTGATTGGCTTGCACCCATGATGTCCCCCGCAGCGACCACACGCGCTCCCCGCCTGTGCGGGTGAGCCCCGCAACTTGGGGAGTTCGACCTCCAAGTTCAAGCGAAGGTCCCCTAACACAATTTTGTCAGTTCTGCCGGTGAGGTTGAGCACTGAGGCTGCGAAGTGTGAAAAGTATGTGCAATTGTGGGAAGAACCCATGGGTGCTTCTCGGCGATTGTTTTATGTGTGGATGCGCGTGTTCCCTCCGCATGGGTAAGCAAGTTACCGACCCGACAAACCGGTTGGTATATACACATATTGACAATATCTCGTAGATGTTGTACTGTAAAATACAAATATCCATCTATAAACGCATTATCTGTGGCAAAATATGACAAGAATGTGTGCATTTTTTGTATGTGTGCATGTTTTTCCTATGTGCGAGAATTTCCGATGTCTAAACTTCAAACTACCAAAAAACACTCTAGGTATAGGTGTTTGAACATTTACATTGAAAATAAATCACGACCATTGAACATAAATAAAAAATACCTAATTAGATAAGTAGATGTTATAAACATATAAATATGTACATTTATGTATATTTAAGTATATTTAAATAAATAAATATATATATATATATTACAAAAAATCGACAATATTGAAACCCCCAAAAAAATACTGCACTGGACTCTAGACGACTGTGTGGCCCGAAAGGAAAGCAGCAGATATCAGGAGACAAACGCCACAATAAATATGAGTCACACACGGGAAAGGTTCCTCCCCAAAACTTTCGGCCCGAAACGCATATTCTCGTATTTAGGATAAAACGTGAAAACTGATGGTGACGACGATGATGTTGCTGATGACGATGACGAAAACGGTGGCGATGATAATGATGGCAATGGTGATGCTGATCATTATGACGATGACGACGACGATGGCGATGATGCCGATAATGATGATGCTGATGATGATGATGATGGTGATGCTGATGATGGTGGCAATGACGATGACGATGTTGATGGCGATGAGCATGACGATGATGATGACAACGTCCTTCGTGCAAAGAAACATGATGGTGCACATGGAAACAAATTTGGTCATGTACGACAGCTTCCATGTCTTGACACATTCGACACAGGCCGATGCAAGTTCACTTCACAAAAATCGCGTTCGCATGTCGCCCGCAGTTTTGTGTGAACACGACCCATAGATTGAAAGTGGATATGGCCAGGTGGACCACGCAGCTGTTAAGCAACGTCCGGTTTCAAAGCAATCGCAATCACACAGGAGCGCCCTACTCTTTGTAACGCGAAGAAAGTAGCAACGTCAACAAGCAAGCAACAAGGTAATAGGAACAGTCATGCTTACCTAGTTCTGCCAACTCTCACCTATGTGTCCAGCAACGCAAAACTACAGGACCACGGGGAAGATCGCAGCCAGAAGGTTCAAGCACATTCCTTATGCCAGCAAATGCGGTCAGCAACTTTACACATAAGGTGGGATTCTGGGGGAGGCGGTCACCATTGTATGTATATATGCTTCTATGCATGCATGCATGCATGCATGCATGTATGTATATGTATCTGTATATGTGTATGTGAATGTAAATGTATATGTACATGTGTATATGTATATGAATATGTGAAAATGTACCAAAATTGATCCTGGATATATTTTGTGTAATATGTACGCCTAGGGGTTATACCCTTTTTCGAGAATAAACATTTATTCCAAAAAATATTTGGTTCCAAGAAATTTATCCGAAATAAATTTAGATATAATCCCTGTATACACCATATACGAGAATATATATTTTCAATAATTTCTTATCCATATTCCATTTTTTAAATTATATTTCATACTAAAATAATCTTGGAAAATCTAGAAAATAATAAAATTTTATTAAAGGGAAATTTAGATTTCATAATATTTGCCAACAGTACCTTTTCTTTTGGTATATAAATTATCAGTTACATCTATTCCTGTTCCAAAATAAAAGTATTTTTTTTAAGGAAATTCCAAAATTAATATCAATTTAAACCAACAATTCTATTTGTAAAAATTAATAATTATTTTCCAAAAAATATTACTAAATCGTGGAATACGATAACACCCTGGAGTACGATAATTATCCGATATATAAAATTATATTTAAAAAAAATCATGGATGCACGTTCATAGGGGTGCCTAATGAATTTTAAAAATTGAGATTCTTAAGGGGTGCCTAATGGACACCCCTTAGCGTTCATGGAGATGGCACACCAGAAAATGATGAGTTCCAACACAAAATCTTCCAATCCCACCCGCGTGGCATCTGTGGTGCACCCGATTTCATGTTTGGCGAGAAGAAATGCATGCGTTTCTTTTCGCACCGGATGTAAAATGTTCCCAAATTTCAAGAAAACTAGTCAAAATCGACACGAAATGACACGCGCAGGGGTTGTTCAAAAAGCACCCGACACGTTTCTAAGGGGTGCTTATTAGACACCCGTTTGCCTAAGGGGTGCTTATTGGACACCCCCTACCGACCGACACGACACGGCAGTGACACGCAATGACACGCATGTTTTTCTTGATTTCTTAAAAAAAAATCGTGACCACTTATGACCGACACGACACGGCAATGACACGAAATGACACGCATTTCTGGAAGCAAACGTGGGGAAATCGAAGAAAAATGCACATATTACTATGAATACCTCATTATTTGATAGTTTGGAATTTGGAACCTTAAAAATTAAAGGGTGCCTAATGGTTATCCCCCTTAAGGGGTGCCTAATTGAGACCCGTTTGTACATCCTGATACATAATTATTTAATATTATTTAGGATCATTTAGATAGACATTTTGTGGGCCGTGAGATGACGTGAGCCCGATAACGGAAAATTTATTGTCAAATATTGAGAACCTGTGCATTTCGATGCAAAATATAGGGGTATTGTCAAGATAGATCGAGGTGGCTAAAAGCAACTACTGTACTCTAACTCCATAAATTACTATGAGATCCTGATCCTCCAAACCAGCTGGTTTACAGTGAATTTGCATGTTTGTTTCCCCCAAAGTACATAGTCAATGGCCGGGTTTTGCAGGTTCGATTAGTGAACATTCTTCATTTTTGTTGGCTAACTTGGTCGTCGACAGAATTCTGGACATGGTCAGTGGGTCATAAGTCATAAGGGTTACCATAAATTATGCACTGTAGCCATGGCAAAAAGAATTATGGAAATGGTCCAATTCCAAGAAGCACCCTCACATGAAAAAAACAATATATATATATATATGGAAATTTACCTGCAGCTCGCCACGCCCCATCGCAAAAGGCTCCGGAGAAGCGACAAGAGAGATTTTAGATTTCTGCATTTTTATGAGTAAAATAGAATTATGGAAATATACGGCCCGACGCAACGCAGATTTTTACCGACCCATGCCGAACCTTTTTTCCATTTCCATAATTCCGTCGATGACTGTACTACACTGCGTCCGAGTATTCCGTTCCTCTGACGCACCAGCGAAGATGCGAGGCATGCCTTGTTTGGAACATGCACAAGAAGTTGTTGTTTAGTCTTCGCAATTTCAGTTCACAGACTTAAGACCAAGAGTTTGCGCTACTGTCTTGAATTGATCATATTTGTGCATCAAGTTACGTCCAATAAAAAGAAACCTTTTGAAGCAGGTCTCCTCAGGTCATCTATGGGCTGATTCTTTGCTGCATCAGCGCCTCCCAACCGCTCGTAACGTCCAATCGTATCAAGCAGAATGCTTGGTGGTTTCATGTTACTGTCTTGGTTCATCAAAGGTGAATCAATAGTTCATCATGTAAAATCCAAAGAACAACTACGAACAACTAACTTCTACCCGATGGGATTTGATTTACATTGATTTACAATCGTTAGATTCTACCAACTTTGGATATATCTGACAAAAACTATCACGTCGATCCCATTCCAAAACATGGCATGATCTCGCAGCCAGCAAGCCGTTTGGGCGCTGACCACTTGGATTGGCGCATCCGAAGTGAAATAGGATTGGGCATAGCCGGAACCGGGTCTGAAATTGATTGGGTCTTGAAACATCAGTCAAGTCAAAGATGTGATTTGGTTTCCTGCTTATTGTTGGGAGACAGGATACCTTAGAATGGCACTTTGGTTGGGGAAAATGATGATGAACTGCTGGTTCTGCGGTGTTTATTATTGGAGACCGCAATCTTGGAACTTCTTCAAGTTTGAGATTGAGAAGTAAGGCCAAACCCCAAAAATATTCGTAGTGAATTATGCTTCAAAAATCTTCATCATCCCACAGGAAGGGGCCCTTCGGTTGCAAGTCGGCTTATTGCCCCATCTACCGACAGTGATATATCCATGAATAAATCTATCAACATATATCCAGACATTTTGTTTCACATATGTTCTGACGTTCCATCTCACATATGTTCAAACATTTTATCTGGTATTTCATCAAGCGCTGTATCTAGCATAATGTTTGGCATTCTGTCTGACATATCTACTGGGTTCAGAATTCGTTCTTGTTTTTTTTGCTCAGGTTTTGGATTGTTTTTTGGCTTTCTTTCCGGGTACCGTTTGCCTTGTATTTGCAACAGTTTGGAACTAGAATCTGTCATTCTGCATGGTATTTGCTACATTTTGGCATGGTTACTTTGCATTTTGCATGGCATTTGCTACATTTGGCCATGTCCGCCTTCCATTTTGCATGGTATTCACCACGTTTTGGCACTTCAACCTCTCATTAGCATGGTATTTGCTACATGTTGGTACTTCAAACGTTCATGTGGGTTTCTCGAGACTTTCTTTAAGCTTTCATTTAGGGTTCATTTATATTATAGGGTTAGGATTCATTTAGGGGTTCATTAGGATTTCATTTAGGGTTTCATTTAGGGTTTCATGTAGGGTTTCTTTAGGTTTTTTTTTAGGGTTTCATTTAGGCTTTCACTTAAGGTTTCTTTAGAGTTTCATTTAGGGTTTCATTTAGGGTGTCATTTAAGGGTGTCTTATCAGGAATTCGATACGTTCATGTGGATTTTTTGGGGGTTTTATCTAGGGTTTCTTTAGGGTTTCATTTAGGGTTTCTGTAGGATTTCATTTAGGGTTTCATTTAGGGTTTCTTTAGGGTTTCATTTAGGGTTTCTTTAGGGTTTCTTTAGGGTTCTTTAGGGTTTCTGTAGGATTTCATTTAGGGTTTCATTTAGGGTTTCTTTA